GCAAGATGTCAGGACATGTAACCAGCCATGTAACAATTTAAAATCAATTTGCCTCCCAAGAAGGAATTGCTCTGCGAACAGTTTTTCCCTCCGAGCGTTCTACAGGACTTTCATTCTATCTAAATAGATATCAATTACATAATCGCTTTTCTTCCCTCTGCCCGGCCGCCGGCTGCAAAGTTTGTCACACCGAGCTGCGGTGTAATTGCCCCTCAAGTCGTAATGTTTTGTGATTGCTTGTGACATTTGCAATGTCATTGATCAAACAGGGCACAGTTCTAATGAAGATGCAGAAAAGCTCTGACTGAAGCGAGGAAGTGGGGTGGAGGGGTGGGGTCGGGTGGTGTCTTATGCTTCTCGTGAACTATGTCAACTGAAGCAACAGTTTCATGTTGGAAACCACCTCCTTTCCCTCGAACCGTCACATCCAAAACCACTTTTCCCTCATTAATCGATTGGTGGCGGATGAAAGTGTGTGCCTCTCCAGCATTCATCATAAATTCAAAAAAAGAAAAAAGAAGAAGTAACTGGAAGTCTTAACTGGTGATAATCTGAGCACTGAAAGTTTTCCAGCTAAATACACTTACCTTGTTCCAACCCCACTGGGTAACCACGCGCCCATTGTGTTTTCCTCAACTTGTTAAAACACCACATGGTACATTTGCATAGGATAACCAACATATAGCGAATCATTTGCATGCCTGAAAGTGCACTTGAGTAACCGTAATTACACGTGACACCAATTACTCTGTTACTTTGTATTAAATTATAATGGAAAATTCCACTAGAGAATTGGAGCCTAATTGCATCTTAATTTGCATAATTTTGCATATTAATCACATCTCAGATGAATAATAAATTTCAGCCGATTTTTTTAATTTATGCGCAGATACAAAAACAAGTTGAAAAATAATTTGTGAGTGAAAAAAAAATAAATCAGAAACTATTACTAAGAGCATTTGTGCTAATTTCTCTCATTACTCGACGTTTAAGTTAAAGATATCTGCTCTCTTGATCAACGAGTTCTGCATTTGGAAATTGACGGTTCACTCCGGCAGAAAAAAAGACACAAAAGAGGTGCGGAAATGTGAATTTTGGAAATGCCCGTGCGTCCGTTTTAAATAAAAACTTTACGACTCTATTTAAAGCTTTTTCCGCTGCAGCCATGCCAAATGTATTCTGCAATGATAATTCAAATCACTTTCCACCTCTACCTTTTCTTTCTTTCTCTTTCACTCTGTCTCTTTTTTTTCCTGGTCAACACCTGTGCCTGCTATTGTGTGTGGCTCCCTGCCAGCTCACACAAAATCCAATACCTGTGGCCCAGATTAAATTCAAATTTACAAAAACAACATATTTTCAGATTTAACACGCTATCCTTTCCAACACAAAGTTGACCAAGTAGTTCTAAAAACCGGATTATGAAGAAATGTAAAAAATAAAATAAAATTTGAAATTGCAAAATACCACTTTTGTAAAAAAAAGAAAATGTAGATATAAATATATATATGAATCGGTTTTATATGAGCCAACGCAACCTCTTCTTGTGGCACAATGGTACAGGTTGTATCTGGCTTTTTTGGTTTACTGATTGCATTTTAAATGGCAAAGATTAAAAAAAGGATACATCCAAACACCTCAGCTTTACAAATATTAGGCGATAATGTGACACACTTATAAGTCATTACCATTTTGACTGTAATTTCAGCTTCTATGACTTTTGTTTCGTTTTGTTTCACTGAAACAATTTTGAGGGACTGCATATTTAAATTTCACTCGGTATACAGATAAAGTTCACTGGCATGCATGGCTGTGGGTGTGAATGCCAGAAAAATAAAGAACATATAAAGAAACTGATAAATTTGGCTTGTACAGTATATCACTGTGTGTGGTCAGTAGGGCTATAGAAGCACTGTAAATACCAGCTCAAAAAAATAATTACAGTATATATTGTGCGTTATAGGCAGCAGTTAACAGGTACTTATTTGGATAGCGTCATCATTTTCTTGAGCTGAGAAATGTTTCTGCTTTCTTGTCATTATTTGTTTTAATCCCCAGGTTAGAAACCACTGAGTTAAAGTGAGACATTTCACCTCGTCCTCCCACGTGAACAGCAAAGCTAAAGTGCCATTTACATTCATTTTGTGACGTCTAAGATGTGCTATAGTTGTGATTCCACCCAGACAGCGTGCCCTTATATTTTATATCCACATGTTGTTTATTGATGGAGTTGTCTCATTGCCTCTGATGAACCAGTGTCCATATTTACTCTCAGTGACCTGCCTCGTGCACTCTGGAGGGTTTGTTCAGCACGATATGTTCATCTCTGTTAGAGCACGTTACACCAGCGTGGAGCTCAGCCGTGGACAACAGTGCCTTTCAGTGGCACAACAGAGGAACGGACCCAGCGAAGACGCAGGCTGCAGTGTTACAGCTCACACGCTGTGATACTGAGTGACAATAATAACACCCTGAGGGTCCGACACTACAACATTATAAGACTAACAGGAAATTAGATTGAATGAATTCAGAAAGAGCAGAAATACTGCTCGGCCTCGAAGGCTATAAATCTGCCAAATATTTTGGAGGGAAATTACCTTCATTTATTAATTTAGTAATTATGACTCATTTACAGTCCCATTTGAAGATACTGACGCCCGAAAATCTCAAAACCAACCTCAACTGAAGAAGGTACACTACCTTTAAGTCAAGTTCAGCTCTTCAAATGACCCCAAACGATACACAAGACTTTAATATGGCTGTATGTGATCACCTTTAAACAACATCACAATTACTTACACTTGCAATACAACAACATGAGGAGAGACCTGGGGACCTAAAAGTTTCACTAATGTGAACTTTACAAGAATTTGAGCAGCTTCAGATTTGTTATTTTCAGCTAAATAACACCAAAGTCCTTCTACAACCCTGCAAAGCTTACAGATTTATCTAAAAGAACATTTTTACCATCAAAATCTCCAGTGTTAAATTAACACTAGAGAGTGTCTATATGGGTCCACTCCTCTGAGTGTTAAATACAACACTGTTGAGTGTTAAATTAACACTTTTGACAGTGTTATATGTTTAAAAGTAACTTAGTCAGTTTTGAAGATTAACAAAGACTAACACTGAGCAGTGCTGATTTTCTAACACTGGAATATTTCTAACATTTTGAGTTATTTTCCAGTGTTAGAAAATCAGCACTGCTCAGTGTTAGTCTTTGTTAATCTTCAAAACTGACTAGGTTACTTTTAAACATATAACACTGTCAGAAGTGTTAATTTAACACTCAACAGTGTTGTATTTAACACCCAGAGGAGTGGACCCATATAGACACTCTCTAGTGTTAATTTAACACTGGAGATTTTGCTGTGTACAAGTGCAGGTATAGAATCTGTTCTAAATCTGATGAAAATCTTTCAAACTTAATGAACCCTGAATTTGCCCTCAAATAAGGCGAAATTTGCCCATCTAAATAATACTTCCACTCCAGTCTTTGCTACTTCTCCCACAGATTTCAAGTCCAGGATTCATTGAATTCCACAACTTGCTCTGATAATGTCTCTGATCGTGCCCTGCATTGTTAGTGCACAGCGTGGCCCTGTCTTGGGGACCTTCCCTGTGTCAGTTCAGACTGTGTATGTTTAATTTACCAATGGTGCAATAAACAGCAACCCGGACTCTAACTCTTCCTCGCTTGTGTATTAAACTGCAGATTGTCCAACAATTAATCCCACCCAGCGAGGAGTCGTTAATATTCTGCTCCACTCCACTGGCAGATGTAAAAAGCATTCTCAACTGACACATATAATTACTATGATACATCCCGGAAAGGTTTCCGTGTCTGAGCGCAATTTCAAATAACCAAGTGCTGCGCGGCTAATTATTGATAAATAAAATTAGTTGGGAGAACTTCAGGTGGGCGGGGCCGCGCGCAGGTGTCTGCTGAATGCGTGCGAGCGCGTGTGTGCACAGAGGAGGGAGAGCGCGACGATACAGCGGAGCTGACCTGCAATCACCGAGAACAGCGGGGACTTAATGATGTTTTGGTCTGCTGATCAAATTTCACATTTTCGCACAATCATTTTGGGCACCTGCTCAGAAAACAAAAGCCTGGCTAAAACTGCTGGCCCGTGTGAACAACTCAGTGTGTGTGTGTGTGTGTGTGTGTGTGTGTGTGTGTGTGTGTGTGTGTGTGTGCATGTGCGTGCGTGCGTGTGTGTGTGTTGCTGCTGCTTTTTTCTTTTACATGTTCTCTTTTATTGTTTTTATAATAGACTACATGCGGGCAGAGACACACGTAAAGTTTGTTTTCTAGTTCCCTTATTCGACACACACACACACACACACACACACACACACACACACACACACACACACGCACACGATAAATGAGTATTTATCTCCCTCTACTGGATCCTATCAGTAAAACCACTTTGCTGCCTTTAAATACCCCCAATGAGTGCCATTCACGCATAGAACTCTTACGCAGATCCAGTCTAGTCTTTCAAAAACAATCTGAATTCAATCTGAAGGACCGACTGTGTAAAATACGGTATAAATATGTAGTCACACATTTTGCCAGAAAATACTGAGCATTATCTGTCTGTGCTCAAATCGGTAATGAATATTATATAAAAAAACAGGAAATAAAATGTAGCAGATCGTTATTGAAAATGTTGCAGAAGTTGAATATGATCATTATATGTACTGTTTAGCATACTAACTTGTAGGATAGCATAGTTCAAGAGTCTAAGACTTCAAAGCAATAAAAACATATTTATAAAAATGTAACAATACTGTAGTGATTGTTCAAAGTAAACAGCAGCAGACCGAGTGCTAGAGTTCTGTGAAAGCGAAGACGAACCCCAGCACAGGCAAGGCCAAACACACACAGTCATTGGGCCTAACTGCTCCGATTGTTAAAATTTCCAACAGTTCTTGAAAGCAGCACTGTTATGTGTACGTCGTTTTCACCATAGGCATTATGGGTACAATATGGGGTGAGTTGCATAAGGTTAGAAGAGGCTGCAGTGTGGATGGAGGCTGTCGCCCCGGTCTGTGGTGGACACGGAGCCTTAACGCTGTGTCCTTCCCGCTCTGATGCAGCGGATCAGCAGCCTCGCCGCATGCCGGGAGTTCGGCGGCCTCGTGGCCTGTACAGCGGGGGTCTGTGCCCGCAAGAACAGCTGCAAGCAGCCGGCTGCGCACCGGCAGTGGGACGGTCCGGTTGTGCGTTCCGTGCGTCTTTACACCGTGGCGCCGGGCCGGAGGCTCGTGTTCGCCGGTGTGAAACACAGACTGTTCTGCTCGCAGCATGGAGCTGACGGGCCCAAGGAGAGCTCCGGCCGCCGGCCCGCTATCTCCGTGGTCGGCATTCCAGACCCGATCACATGGATCAGGTGTAAGGTCATCATGTTTGCACTTGATCTGTACTTTGAGTTAGACGTCAACTCTGAGGAGTTTGAAAGAGGTGTGAAGCAGGTAAATACCGACAGGCCGTTTTACTTTTTCATCAGTACTGTCAATAATAAAAAGCAAATTTTTCATGCTTCATATGGACCATTGTTTGAAAGAGTTACCTTTAGTAGTAAATACACGTTTACATCTGATACATCAAGAGGTCATGGATTGGATAACGTAGGTGGGACAACACCACATTAAACTATACCTCGCTAAATAACATTTTGCTCTGTGCTAAAGTTTGCATCACATCACGTGACCTTCATCCGCCTGTTTATCTTCAGCTTTACTTTTTTTAATAGCAGTGTTGTCCCACATGTGCTTGTCCCCCCCCCAAAAAAAAGCATTCCCCCCATAAACAAATGCTTTCCACCTTCAGTGAATGCACACGCAGCCAGGGATTGAACCACCAACCTTCTGATTAGTGGATGACCTGCTCTTCTATCTGAGCTACAACCACCCCTACTGAATGAACCTGCCAAGGTGAAAACTGGGCAGGTTCATTGTGCTAATGAAGAACACATAACACGACTGAAAGCAGCAGAGCAGTTACAGTTTCAACTAGAGACTTTTAAGATTGTGTATTTATTTATTTTTCTGGTTATTACCCAGCCTGAGGCAACATGGCAGGTTGTAAACCCGTTTTAAAGATGCAAACACACACTTGTACCATCAGGAATCGCGGCTTTTTATTAAATACTGTGGTTAAAGAGAATAAGCCACCTTTTTGTTCCTCATCCATTCCAGGCCTTGGTTCATGTCTCCAACAAGATGTCCAACGGCAGATATCATGAGCTAAAGGGGATAGTGTCCAATGAGGTAACACATCAAAGACATAACAAAGGTGTATTTAAAAAAAGCTGACTTTGTTGAGACGGTCTCACACAGACAGTACAGGACTGTATCAAACTGTTAGTGTTAAAAAAATCTAACATTTAGTATTTATGTCAAATTAAGACTTTTTTTTCCCACTTTCAGTCTTTTTTTTAGTAATGATCGTCTTGTTTTTCCTTCCAGATGTTGGAATATGTTGAGAAGAGGTGTGGGTCTCTCACTGATGCTCAGAGGAAGCAGCTCGGTGTCCAAACGGATGATATTGTATTTGTGCTTCCAGAGGACATCTCTGTCGTCTTTGATCAGTATGGTCAGTTTGTGAAATCAGAACATGGGATGAGGAAGTGATATGAACAGCAGGACGGACTCTGATTTCTGTCTTTTTTTCTTGCAGGTAGGAAGTTTTGCTATATCGTCATGAGATTTTGGATCCTGTCATCACATGAAGGACCCGATGACCCTGAGGGTACAAAAATCTTCAAAGTGGGATCCAGTGAAGACGGCGGCCCACAGAAGAAAATTGTAACTGCTGTTTATGAGTAAGCACTCATCTCGTCATCTGTCAACATCACAAACAAGCCAATCATCCAGAAGCATGGCTTTGAAACAAATATTTCCTCATTCAGCTCTGGCATGTTAGCAGAGCTGAAGCTATGTCTGCTCTTTCTTTGCTTAAAGAAAACTTTTGATCATTAATTTGCTGAAATGTGCCCAAATCTTTGTTTGTTTTACTTCTCCATATAGGCTATGCTGATGCAAAATTAAAGTGTACAAATATTTGCTTAGAGATAATCTTATGTTGGCAAAAGCTCAAAGCTACCTGCAGGCCTTCCAGCATACAGCAGGTCTGTTTTTGTTGGGAGGGGAGCAGCGCTGCTGGTGGTGAGTTGAAGGTTTTTAAAGTAAATGCAGAAAGAATAACAGTGAAATGTTCAGAAGGATCCCATGGATGAGGGTCTGTGTTGTATTTAATGCCCCTCTTAAGGAAAGTGGCAAAAGTGACATGTATATTTCTACTGCTACTTCAGTCACTTGAAAGTAAGAAACAAAAATAGTACTGGTAGGAAAAAAAGGGTAAAACAATTATTTCTGCTTTCAGTTTGCTTTAAAAACTCTTTTTCATTTTTGTTTTTAAAAACTTTTTAGAATTGTGGAATAAGACTATATAACAGATGAACATATTCACTGGGATGTCACCCATGGGTTGGTTGACATATTTTGAAGCCTTTTTGTTACCATTTGGGGGGGGTTAAACCAGAAGTGACCATATTTCATTGAGAAGGTGGAATTTTGCTTACTAGCTGGGTTAGCAGGAATATTTATGTAATATAGTTGTTAATAATATTTGACAGATAGAAGCTTCTTTTGTAGCTCCCTTATGATCGCCATAACAAATGGATCTAAATGTTTGATTTGGCTGATTTTTTTAGGCTGGATGTCCAGGTGTGCTTCCTCCCAGGAATTTGTGTGTGATCTTTCATTCATTAGGTGAATGTGTTAACCACTACACTAAAATCAAACCTGCCCCAAATCACCCACACAGTTAAATTTGAGCTTTACCAGCATCCAGAGATATATGAAATGGTAAAAATGGCCTGTATTTGTATAGCGCTTTACTAGTCCCTAAGGACCCCAAAGTGCTTTACACATCCAGTCATCCACCCATTCACACACCCATTCACACACCCATTCACACACTGTTGATGGCAAGCTACATTGTAGCCACAGCCGCCCTGGGGCGCACTGACAGAAATCTAATATCCCTGGGGTCAAATATCATGTTCTTTTGGAGCCAGCCACAGTGGCCATGTGAGGACCTGAAGTTTATTAAGTTTCTGTGTTGATTCATTTTAGACTCTGAATTTGCAGGTTGGTTTATGACCAACAGCCACACTACTGCGGTGCTTATGGAACTTTAAAACTGAGACTTTTGGAAATGCTGCTAAGCTACTTGGAGTTTGAAAATCTTATCAGCGTATTACGCTCTTTTCACAGTCATCATCTCCTCGTGCTTCTAGTCACTTTATGTAACCATTCTTTAAAATCATGCATCTAGGCAAAGGAATTCATTTATACCATCATGGTTCTTCCTCCCCATCAAGAAATCAAACAGTTTCAGCTTCCTGTTTACGATGGCAGATGCATGTTCAGTGTACTTGAATGGTCATGTGACTGGTTCTGCTATCACACAATGTGTGCAGGGATGATGTGTGAAAAAACAAACTGAGAGGCAGCAACTTTTAGTCCTCTGTCACTGTTGATATATGATGCATTCAGGCACAGTTGTGTCTGTTGGTCAGTGTTTAGAACAACACCCACTACCGTCACATACCTGAAATGAAGCAAATCAATCTTTTTTTTTTCTTTGAAAGCAACCTGGCTGTGCAGAAATCTGATGCCACATCATAAACCTTTGTTATTCTGTGCTTGATCACTGACTGACTGTAAAAGATAAGCAGTAACTTGTAACTTTATTTTCTATTATTTCACCAAATATCAACAAAGAATTGTGGCTTCTTTTTTTTGCCTTAAAGTGTTAAGAAACGTTGGCATAACTGCAATTCCTTCACTGCAAAGGTCTGCTAACTTCCTGTAGTTTGGAATCCAGCTCTGAGTATGTTAAATTCTTCAATAAAGTTTGCTGGTTAAACAAAAAGACAAATCATTCCACACCCACACAGTGCTAACAGTCAAAGCCTCTTTCTGTTCTCAGCCAGTAATCCAGTTGTTGGACCACAGTGTGTGGCTATTCTACCTAATACCCACCTATCTAGTTAGCCAGATTCTCTGTCCTATTGTTCCAGGTCTTAAAATCCTCTCTGAGAAATCCTGTTACACTTCAAATGTTATCCTGAAGGCTCACATGAAACCGACAGTTTGGCATGAAACAGGCGCCATTTTCAGAATTATATACAATTATTTTCAAGGTGAGACAAGAACCAAAACTTAGTTTGAATGTCAGGGTTAGTCGGTCCATCTTTTCTTTCAGCACTTTCAATAAACTTGTACTACTAATCTAGGATGTGCATGATTAACAGTGTGGGAAGTTTTTAACCATCTTTGCTTCGTGTCGTCGCAGATTCCACCGAGAGCTAACGAGGGGAGCCTCTTCTGACTGGACTGTTACCACTGTTTGGCACTGGCACTGGAAACTAGCTGAATAATCTGACTCAGCTTTGCTCAGATTTGTCATTTTTTGCTTTCGCATGGAAGGCAACCTTCAAAGTGAGAAACTGTACTGATCATTTTCCATTTGGATCACATTAAATGGGACCCAGAGTGCTGGAGCTGTGCAGACACTGAGTACTACTTGATGGTTTTTCTTTGATGCCCCTAAAGCCTTACATGTCAGACTAGAAGTAGTGGTACTGTACAGTCTCTCTGATTCACCTGTCAACCCCCGTCAGGCGTTTTTAAATGAGATTCTGTATATGCTTCACCATTACTGTTCTTATGGTCTGTTGACTATCTCGTTTGTGTTTTCTTATTGAAAATGTTATCCCTTTAATAGACACTCCAAAGACAAAAACAGTATATGAACAGATTGAAGTTATTTTCTGGATCATTGACCAACTTCATGTACATGCTTATTTTTTTGGGACCTGTCAAGTACATGCTTTATTAAATTGAGTTTGGTCATTTGTCATTGTATTACAGCTGTAACCATGATATCTTTTGTCACGTTCCAAAAGTTATTTTTATTAAATCTGAAAAAGAAACTACAAATTATGATGGAGATACACAGGTATTTTTTCTAGAAACTAAGAAGTAATAATGATCTGATTGGTGTCTGAGTACCAGTATGTTCTATCTATAAACTGCATCACCAATTTCTGTCCTTTCCCTGATGAAAATCAGGACCCAACAGATTCCATTTGTTCTACACCAGAGGTGTCAAACTCCAGTCCTCCAGGGCTGATGTCATGAAACTTGTAAATGTCTCCCTGCTGCAACACACCTGAATAAAATTAGTAGGTCATTAGCAAGACTCTACAGAACTTAACTGCATGCTGAGGTGGCAATTCAGTCATTTGATTCATGTTGCAGCAGCTCATGAGTGAATGAGCATGGTGCAATAAAAGTACATTTTTACACTTACATTAGGAGCTGCCACCTCAGCATGCATTCAAGTTCTACAGAGTCTTGCTAAAGACCTGCTACCTTTTTTCAGGTGTTTTGCAGCAGGGACACATTTACAAGTTTGACATGACATCGGCCCTCAAGCACTGGAGTTTGACACCCCTGCTCTACACCAATGGTTGCCTCTGCAGTTTCTTATCCCCACATTAAAAAGCCTTAAAGAAAACCTAAGGGCTTATGCTCCTTACTTCCTGCCTTATATATACTGCTAGAGTGGCCAAAGTTTAAAATAATAAAGTCAGTGTATGTAAAAGTAATCCATGTGAGCTAATAGCTCAGGTTTCACACTGCAGTTCAGTTTAGCATTTCTTTTTCTTTATTCATTTCTGCTTGCAGCTTCATCAGCAACTAGAACAACACATTGAAATCCCACCTGTTAGTGGTTAAATTGTTGCTAAAGTAGGTTTTGAATACTTGTGCAGACATGCAGTGCCAAATTTGTGGAGTACTTTGGTACTTTGTGGAGCACTGCAGAATAGTTTTTCCCACAAGTGACTATTATAAAGGCCAAGAGAAAACTTTGTTAATATTAGATCTGTATTCTGGTATTCAACTAATACCGGAATTCTGTTAGTGATAAAAAAAAAGCATCAGGGAAGAAAATCCACTTTCTGTAGCAAGCAGAAAGGGACATATGTTCTAGTAGATGGCTGCCAGCGACAAAGTTGAAGCCAGTTCTTGATGGGCCAAAGAGAGCATAACACAAATCTTGTACAAAATGAAAATAGTTATAATAGTATCGTTTTGCTCCAAGCAAGAATGACTAATTCTGCCATAAAATTCTCCACCTTAGCTTGTGTTTGTGCCCACAGTCACTGCCAGCAATGTGTCACTTGTCGAAGACATCACATTTGACAGGCTCGTGAATGTTGCGTGTCATCCAATTCTGTTAAAGCTTGCTGCAGTATTATTAATGTTGACAACATATCTGACAAACAGAGAGGATTCTGTCATTAGCGTCCGCTAATTCATGCATAATGAAACACGCTGAGGATTAGTCTAATTTTCCTGCATGGTAATACGCGGGGTCTGCGGAAGTTTGCGTGGGGGGGGGGGAGTTTTTTTTTTTTTTTATAGTTCCAGTCAAGCATCTCACCGAGTCATAATGGGATTAAATGAGTGTGGTTAGCTTAGTATGTGTCAATATGCTCATGGATATGGTGAGAGTACATTAAACAATTTAACATGCCTGTGCATCACTCACTTTAATGGAAATTAACAAGAAAACATAAACAAGTGGTGAATATACAAAAGCTAATGTTTTTATTAGTTATTTTATTGTTTTTTTGTATGTTCTGACGTGTGAATCAGTCCAGGCTAGACGCCAACTAGTTCATTAATCTGGTTAGCGAAGCAGATTGCAAACAATTCCTCATGCTTTCTTTAATGTGTATTTGTATGTTTGCATGTGTCCCAGCTCCAGGACGCTTCAGATTCATTGTGCTGTCTCTGTCAGAGTCTCATTATAAGGTTGATTAATAGAATTACGGGATAAATATGTGTGGAAATCAAAGTTAATACTACTTCTAGACAGAAAAAAAGAGATAAGATTCAGAGAACATACTTAGTATTTACTGACAGCTGCATTTTAATCATAACTGAACACTGCTTCACAGCAGCTTATTATATGCCAACAAAGGATGGCATGTTGTTTCCAATAAACAGAAAATGTTTGCTCAAACAAAGCACGCCTAAAAACACTAAACTTGATTTTCATTCACTTATTCATATACTGCTGCCATTTGAGAGGGTTGGCAACTACTAGGAGCAAGTTGCAATGTAGTAGTCACGTCAGCACATGAAGGGTCCAGGGACTGAAATACTGAAGCACCTGAACACTCTGATCAGTGGATAGAAACATCACTACAAACTTTTGACATAATACTGAAATGCTGACGTGGCAAATGTGCTGTTCCTATTAATGATGGGTGACATCAACTTCATACGAAGCCCAAAACATGATCAGTGTTTTTAAAACAAAAATCAAAACAAATTAATTGAACAATGAAGTATTTTTGATTAAAACTGTTTATGCCACTCAGCATCACAATTTCTCTGATATTCATTTGTGTGTGTGCACTTTTGTTATACTGATACAGACACGATATTCAGGCAAGATAAACAAACTATAGATCAAAACAAGTTTTGAATGGGACCCAAAAATCTGTGATGTTTGGTATGAAAAAGTACACCTGTGTGTGCTCTCTGAGGAAATCTCAAGAGTGCCTAAAGTAAAAAATGTGCTTAATAGCTGTAAAATCTGCTCTGATGCATAAAGGAGATAAGTTGTTTGTTGCTGTTCCCAGTGATGAAAATAGAGCTTCAAAGAACATCTCAGGTCTTCAGCGTAACATTGCATACGACCAATTCAATGACGCAAGAAATAATTCCATATAGTGAAAAAAATAAAATACCACAGCAAGTGCAGTATGTCTCTTCACATAACCTCCTTTTTGAATGGGTGTTCTGCCAGAAACTGTTAAGTGGCTTCCAGCAAATTCATTAAATAACATAAAAGGCAGCAACCTACAAAGCCTTAATCCAAAAAATAGGTCAAGATTTTTAAAAACAGTTTCATTTCTTGCGTCCTTTTTATATATTTTTACATTTTAATTTTAATTCAGGTAAGTAGATCTTTATCCATAAAATATATAACACGTGATTGTGTAGAAGATGCAGTTTTCATCAGCAGTAGTTTTTGTTTTGTTGAAGACTGTAGCAGCACAGAAAGGATTCAAATTTAACTCAGTCTCTTTGGAATATTTTCATATCAATGCAGATCTTTCATAGCTGACTCTGAAATCATTTAAACAGCCTATGCACTGCAAGTTCCCCTGTTGCAAAGACAGAGGAAATGCAAACAGCGTTCTTTCCTGCTCTTAAAAAAGACTTTAGCTGACAATAAGCTGTGAGAATTATGAGAATGGTGGTTTAAAAAAAGCTTTCCTAACAAACTAAAACAAATTTTTGTGAGAAGGACAAACTTCTATGGATGAGGAAAATTGTTAGTGTTAAAAAAAAAAAAACCCTTCGGTATTACATTGCTTTTATTTCCCTGAGAACGTTGCGGAAATTCTCCACACAAACCTCCCTGGTCGGTTGCTTCATTGACGCGAGTTCCCAGGCTTCCTCAAACGTCTCCTCCGAAATATTCACACCAGCATTCCTGAAGATTGTTGCAATCTGTAAGAAATATGTCAGTAACAGTAAGAAAGATTCAAGCAATGAAGTCAAGCAGTGAAGCTGCTCAGGCACACTGTTGTCTGCCATTTCTTACTCATCACTGTCATCGCTCTGTTATTCTTTCATAAATGGAGTCTGGCAGCCCCCAACTCTCTATGGTAAAATATTTTTAAATCTGGCAGGCTGATAACAGAAAGACCATAATATGTATAAAAGACTGGACTGGACTATAGACGGTAACTTTGACGGATTGGGGTTGGTATTTTGTTTGTTGAATCTTTGGTTATGTGTTTGGAACCAGAATGGCTCGTAAATGGACAAGAGTGAGGGGGGGGCTACGCTATTAGCTAAGGCTACCAACCTGACTTAGTAAGCTGCATCCACAGATTGTTAATTAGTGCTAACATAAAAAATTCTTGCTTCAATTTAACTGAAAACTCATGAGTGGAGACCTCTTGGACAGTCTTGTTCAGTAACTTGAATTAATTGAGGTTAGAAGAGTGTCTTGGCACCTACGTGACACTCAGAGCAGCCATGCGCTTAATTATTCCTACATTTGGCGTTTACAGTTTAAACTAGTTATTTTTAAAAATGTTCTAATAAAGTGGGAAATTAGCTGTGGACACCAAAATGGTTTATATCTGCTCTACTTTAAACATGAGATTCTAGAGGAGCTGACACACTTCTGAAGCCAGCCTTAAGTGGTCTTAGAGGAACTGCACTTTCTGGTACTTCTGTTCTGACTTTATTTTTCAGCTCTCTGGAAGGACTCCTGATTACTTTCACCATTTCATTTGCATTTTATACTGTATTTCTACACCTTCCAGGGCTCTAGACTAACTTGTTGCCAAGGTTGTGCTGGTGCGACTTTTCTTAGGCGCACCAGCACAAAATTTAAGAGCACCCAAATTTTTCAACTGCACCGCTTAACACCGCAGTTTTATACTTCGCACTTTTTGGGGGGGAAATTTTCTGTCCATACAGACAATATTGATTTGCAAATGATTAACTAACAATCTTGTCAACACAAAGTTCTTTATTTGGAGCACAGTTCTACAAGAAAGATAAGTTACTGAAAAAGTGGTTGTGCTTAAAGTGCTTTGGCAATATTGTAGACAATGATAAACTTAATCATCACATTGGCCTCCTTTGACGACCTGTTTGCTGCTGCCTGCCGCTGAAAGGCATTGGGGACAGGGGACACTTGGACAGTGCATTTATCACCGTATATAATATGTTTTCTGGATACACTGTGCTTTTTCATCATTCAGAGGTCGATGGCTCCGTGTCAGAGCACTGGCTATGAATTTCAGGCGGATCAGGCCTTAACTTAACAAAAAAGTTATCAATAGTTCTTTTCATCTTTTTTTATTACCCACACCTACATCCACTTCTGTCAGGCCTAGGCTACTCACTAAGGCTGGGCATCGTCACTGATTTCTATAATCCATTCGATTCCGAATTACAAGGTCCCGATTCGATTAGATTAATTTTTACCCAGACAGTCAGAAATATTATAATTCTGATCATTTATCAGTACTGATACATGTGAGGCTTTATCAGAGGTGTAGCATCACAGCAGCAGATGCCTTTGTATCAAAGTAACTGAGGATAAAACACAGAAAAACATGAAGGAGATTTTCCTGGCCTGGCTATATCTGGCTATATCTTTCAACGTAGCACTCTTAATTCTTATTCTCATGTATATATCTCATGTATATCTCATGCACATATCTTCCCACGTAGCACTTTTAATTCTTATCCCTACTTTTATTTTTTTCCATGTCTATTTAAGTGCTATTTATGACACTGTGTTTGCACTGAAGCACCGCAGCAATTTCCTAATGTTGTAAACCTGCTCAACATTTGGCAATAAACCCCATTCTGATTCTGATTCTGATTCTGATTCTAGCAGATAACCTTGAAAATATACTGCAGTAGTAATTATGCATATTTTGCATAATTTTAAAAAGTTTAAATTTCTTTTGTATTGAACAGCAGAAATTAAATGACCTCTGATGAGAAAGCCTAAGTAAAAAAAACCCCAAAAAAACAACAACAAACAAACAAACTAAAAACAACAGCATGATTTTTATCGTGGTGAAAGCAAAACAGCAAAGGTAAGAGGGAATTCATGACGACATTTATTAAATGTGAAGCGTAGTTTGGGTCTTGTTTTGCTGCTGGTTCAGTAAATTTGGTTGGAGAGAGACAAAACCTGCAGCTCAGAATCTAGCACAAAAAAGACGTAAACACAAAGCAGACCGATGCTTCAGAATCAGCGAGCTGTCGGCTTTCAGCCCCGACGGCATGTCCATGCTGTCAGGTGAGAAAGCCGAGAAAGAGAAAGCTGATTCTGATGCGTCGGGTCCAAGCTCTGTGTTTACATCTTTGTGTGGAATCCGTTTACCTGCTCTCATTTACTGTTTGGTGGTTGTTCAAATAGTTTTGTGAGCTTTAACCTGAGATTCTGCCGCAAAATACATTTATATTTAAAACTCGATTCAAGATTTAATGAATTGATATTGCTTTATTCCAGCTACTCACCTCTCTCTATCCACCTGTACTTTCAAATGTACACACGAAATTGAAAAATTTGGTTGCTGGTCGCACTCTAGAGCCCTGCCTTCAGTAATTTCACATTTAGACGTATTTATGCATGTAATTCTTCCACCATTGTGGGGGGACACCAAGTCATTCCTAAGCCAGCCAAGACATGAAATCTCTCCAGCAAAAACTGTCCATAAAAACTGAACAGAATCAGTGACAAAAGGCAGCCCTGGCAGAGGTCAGAGTTCAGCATCCATGAGAAATGAGTTTGACTTACTGCCAGCAAAGATTCTGAATTGATCTTTAAAAAACAAAGAAAAAAGAAAAACTCAGACATAAGCCTTTCTTAGGCAGATACATTATATGGGCCAGACTTTGATGCAGTAAATGAGATTACCCACATCAGTGGTGTTTATTTTATGGAACAGACCCCATTGTTGTGCATCAACTGACCTATAGTGTAATAACTTTTTAAACGCTTATCTCACTTATCCTAACTTCAAAAGCACAATGCTGTAATAACTTTTTTCCTCTGTGTCAGAAAAAAAATGTAAAATTGTTTCTGTTGGCAAATAATAATAACAATAATGTTCTTTTTCATACAAATAATAAAAGATGGTGAGATTTGAAAGATAGACAGTGCCACCCCAGTCTCATCTATAGGCTGTACCTCCTCCTTGCTGCGAGGACAGAAGAAATGTTCCTCATAAACACCTTGCAGGGCATGAACTGATGGATGTAGAAGATCTCCAGCTGTGGATGTATCGCCATAATTGTTTTTGTCACTGACTCTTTTAATGCGAGGAGCTGGAAGATCTGAGCGCACAGATGGGATCCCGTATGTACGTCCATCTATTTAAAGAGAGACCAGATGATGTACAGGGAAGGGAGTAAAAAGTAAGCAAACTACGTAAAACATTTCTAAAATACAAAAGGATGTTTTCAAATATGCACAATCTAAAATATCTCATGTATTTGATTTTATTAAAAATGGCTGGTTTTGATGAGTTGGTACGACAGTGATTTGAACTGTGTCATGAGGAAGATCTGTGTTTAAGAAGAAGTGAATGACAGTGGATTCCTGGTATATTCCTTCCTTAATCTTGTCCAAAGCGAGAGGCAGCTTTAATAGCGCAAAACATATTTGTCAGCTTAAAGTCTCCTGACTTACCTGATGGGAAACGACCAGCGCCTGCAGCCCCGATGAGGGAGGAGGTAGTTCTGAAGTGGTCTGGGGCTGCCCTTGTCTGCCTAAGGCTTCTAAGAGTTTTCAGTGAGCTGCCTGGCTCAACAAGCTGCAAGTCCTCAAGATCAACCAACCGACAGGCATGAAGCTGTGCTGTCACTCTTTCTATGTCACCTGGAGCTGAGCTGGTTTGACGCTCTGCAGATAAATTAATCAGACCAAAATGTAAAAACTACTTAAATCTGTCGTCTTTTGGCATTCCATATTGTCGGTGGTATCAGTGCAGTTTTAGTTCTGTGATGAAGCATAAAATCAACCGATAGATTAAATTGCCTTCTTCTTACCATTTGCAATAATGCACTGCTCTCGAATGTTGATGGGCATTTTGTCTTTCCAGTTGAGAAAGTTGGCAAACTCCAGAAAGTTGATAAACCCGTCCTTGTCTGTGTCACAGTAGTCCATCAGGTCATCCAGGACCGACTCACTGACGTTCAGCTGGAACTGATGACACACTGCACGCAGGTCCTCTTTGTCAATCATCCCCTTTCCTTTCTGGTAATTAACATAAAAAACAGATTCATAATCCCTATAAACACATTTTGAACATGTAGAATCTGTAGGCAATGGGCAAAATATTTGGTACTGGTTTCTAGTTTCATAAATAACAACCCTTTGAACCCATACAGACTTCGGTATGTGTTTAGAAGTGTGACACAAGTCTGCAAAATGAGAATTAAAGCTCTATTACTTTGAAAATCATCTTACCACAGAGTCACACATCACTGGCTTTATCTTAAAACCAACAGCTTGACTTCCTTACTACCAGCACTTTGACTTATCAAACACAAGTTGGCAACCTGTTGTGAGTCTATTCATACCTTGTCATAATGTCTGAATGCCTTTAGCAAGGAGGGGAAGTTTTCAAAGTTGACCTTCTTGAGGTGATGCCTCACTGCATTCACCAGGCTGCGCTGTCTGTCTGGGCCTCTCGTGTACTGCCGTGGACCTGTGGAGTAGATCAGCTCTCCAATGCCTGCAAAGGAAGTATTTGTTGTCTTCAACTGAAAAAGCTTTTTCTAAGGACACACCAAATATTCCCGTATGTAAGGCGGGAGAACATTTTTATACAAAATTTACCAAAATCATCCGGTGGTAAGACCATTCCAAACGTGTGATCAGGCAGAACAGGCAACGTTTTTTCTCTCCTGAAGAACATGAAAAGAAATGGGAAAATTAAATAAAATCTTAGTGAGATAATTACAGGTCTCATATGTTTCATTACAGACAGTTTAAAAAAAAAAAAAAAAAAAAAAAAAAAAAAAGTACTTGACGATGGTTTTGCCCATTTGTTGTGCTATCTTCTCTCTGTTCCCAGATCTCTTCCAAGCAGCTGGATTGTAAAACCTAAGAAAAAAATATGAACAATTCGAGTTGGCTTTCACTTTTTAAATTAGAAGGACAAGGAGCAGATATGCAGTGTTAAGGAAAAACAAAAGAATTTGCTGCATGGCCACTTTATTTCGGTGCTTACTTCTGTGATTCACCCAGCCAATGAAGAGTTTTGCCAAGATTACGGCCATCGTTGAAATGAGGTGTGAGGATCCCAAACCTGCTGTCTTTACTGTAACGAGTCCTGTCATAATTTCTATTAATTTGTTCACCTGGAATAAAGTAAGATAATCACACTGTGGTGAAAATGATGAAATGAATTCCAGAAATAGACCGTTAGTGGAAAGAGTAAAGACAGCATCAATAGTATGATTTTCTTCATTCTTACCAACAAAATAGGCATTACGGCTACGGATGTAAGCATCATGTGCCACCTCAGCTTCCCTCTCTACCTCCTGTGCTGTTTTTGCAGGGTTAATAATCTCACGCACACCCAAACCTTGATGAAAGGAACGGGAGATAGTCAGAAAATATATAAAGAAATATAAGAAAAATATATAAATATAAGAAAAATTAGAATGTAAAACAAAAAATGTAAAAGTTTTAAAATGTTTCAATGACAGCACACAACCATTACAAACTTAGCCTCCTGGGACCTGGTGTCCACATATGTGGACATCACATTTTGGGTTGTCTAGACCAAAATACTAAATTTTGCCCTACAAGAGCCCGATATCCACTTACAAGGACATTATACTGCCACTGTTCTATCAAAATTTAAAGTGAATGTCCTCATATGTGGATCACATTTTTCTTAGAAACAAAACTCAGGTAAAAAAATAAAAGAAAATCACGTAATCCTTTGTTTTTACATTCATCAGGTCCCAAATAGCTCAAATAGCAAAGAGAAATTAAAAATGCATGCCATGAGTTTCGGTCTTAGGAGGTTAAACCAACTTTCTTGTTGTTTTATTAGCTTTTGACTTATTTAATGTTATACATACCTTTTACTGTTTTTATGCCAAATGTAGTTTTCTCATTACACAATGGGGGGAGTTCAGAACGTTGGACACATGATCTGCCTAGAGGAGCCTTCTTATTTGAGGCATATACAGATTCACTTAGTTCTTGTAACTTCTGCTGGAACAAGGTCTTTGGGGATGGATTTAGCAAGCTTTCACTCTGTAGGAATGATGTAAAACGATTATTGTCAGTCAGTATTCTAAATGTGTCATTGTGTACTTTAAATTTTCTACTCAAAGCAACATTGTGCACCAGCTTCCAAACACGGTGACATCACAAAACAGATGTGAATACAGAGAAAACTCCAGAAAGCAAATAGAAAAACCATCATCAATGTCTGCTTCTTAGGAAAATTCAATTTGAGGGGTAACATAAAATCATGAAAAAAGCAAATGACTTACTTAGGGAAACCACTATAATACAGCAGTACAATAAATGCGTCTGACAGGGGTAGATCGTTTTTACTTCCAACATACAAACGTACAAATACATCCTCTTGCACCGCTTCGCCTCTAATGCCATGTGCACACAGGCAGGTCAGAAAAGAAGGAAAATGGAAGAGAAGGTCCAATATTAGGCTTTTTCATTCTACGACAAAGCCAGTAAGTAGTGAGCCAGTGCTTTTTCAAGTGTTGTTGATCATTTCCTAAGTAATCCTACATTAATATTTTCCATCCCTTATAATTTGTTGATCATTATCAATCTCAGTTGATATGTGCTCAAGTCCAAAAGAGCATCCCAAAACACAGATACTGTATGTGTGTCTGTGAAGGTTCTCAGTCATCCAGGTCATTGTAGTCAAAGGAGCTTGGAAAGAAAAGGGTCTGGACTTCTTTAAGTTACTTGAAGACGTTTCACCTCTCATCCGAGAAGCTTCTTCAGTTCTAAGGGTCAAATGGTGGAGAGTCCCAGATTTAAACCCAGTGGGAGTTTCCCCCCAAAGAGGGACAAAGGACCCCTGATGATCCTCTACCTAATCACATGAGCCAAGGTGTGAAAGCGGGTGTGGGTCACAATCAGCCAGGGTTTCGGGTGAGCTCATTGTGAAACCTGGCCCCACCCTATCATGTGATTTCCTGAGGTCAGATGGCCCAGGATGTGAGTGGGCGTTAAGGCGTCTGGGAAGGGATCTCAAAACTGGATTATAGATGGCAGAGAGTTGGTGTCGTAAACCACCACCTCTGTTCAAAGATGGTCGCTCACAGGGGACGTAAATGGCTTCTTTCACTCCTCTTTCAAACCATCTGTCCTCTCTGTCCAAAATGTGAACGTTGGCATCCTCGAAAGAGAACGCCCAATTAAGATAACCGCATGTTTTAAGTGCTTCCTTTACATGTGTGTGTTCCTTCTTTTTCCCTTCAGGCTTAGAGGGAACATGTTCTGCCCGGTGGTGTAGGGTCCTAATTACCCCAAGTTTGTGTTCCAGAGGGTGATGGGAATCAAAGAGGAGGTACTGGTCCGTGTGTGTGGGCTTCCGGTAAACTTCAATGTTGAGGTTGCCATTCTCTTCAATGTGCACAGCGCAGTCCTGTATACTGTATGTGTGTGTTTTGAATGTGCACAAAAGTAGCCTTATATCTGATATCTGCACTCTAAAGCTTGTCATAAATCATGAAGAGTACAAACAAAAGTAAATCATACACATTTGAACACAAACTTAACAGGGATAACAAAAACAGAATAAGTGAGAGCCTCACTGTATTTTAATCCAGGATAGTTTGAACTTTTGCCAATGTTTTTGACATTTTTTTTTTTTATCATAAATTGATGTACAAAAGGTAAAAATTCACATATGAGCATCCTCCAAATCTTGAAATGAAATCTATTACTACTTTATCAACTGTAAGGTGGTGAGACTTCCTTCCTTCCATACTTAAGTCACTAAAGTCAAAGTCAAAGTCCAACTTAAACAACAGTACAGTTGTACACAGTTACATACAGGATATTATTTGTAGCAAGTGCTAGTTTAAGTGCTAGTTCAAGTGTAACTTTTTATTGTGATTGCACAGTCATACTTTGTAAAATAGTGAAGGAAATTGTAGTACTACCATACATCAAAGATGTACAGCAGTATAAACAAAACAAAATAAATAAATTCCATATATATGGAATAAAAAATATACAGTGTGTCCAGAAAATTTTATATACTATATTATATTTAATTTTCTGCACTGTATAAATGCCATTTCATTTATTGTGTCAACTCCATTTAAGTTATATGAGCCTTAAATCCACTACCAAGCAGAGCAATACATGAGTCATTGGTCATGATCTAAACAAAATATCAACCTATCAAATTTCAGTTTAGTTAAAAACCTTCCCTGTTGTCCCTTTAACAATCACAGGAAGCTCATACTCACAGTGAGGGGTGCTTTGGTGATGACACCATGAACAAGAGTGCTGCCAACATCTGGGTCATTTGCCTTCCCTGTGTGGACTCGGATAGTTCCTGGTCCGGGCTGGTTGCTATTGCGGAATTTCCTCACCACCGGTGGAGTCGTGGGCTGAAATTTACAGGGAAAGAGTTAACCCACAATTTCACACATTTTGTCTAAAAATAATAATAAATCTGATTAATAATCCCAACAGATGTAAAACAACTGTTTTAAACTGAGATAATAGATAGAGACGTCCAAAGAGCTTCAAGAGATTTTTCGGGGGGGGGTTTCACTTGGAAGTTATACTTTCCAACAATTATCCCCACTTCCGGATGCTCTGAATGCCATGTCTAAACACATAAAAATGAACTCACTCTTTCCACTTCTCGTAAGCAGATTTTGACACTGTCTCCTGGAGGTATTAATTTCCCGGCCTGCATTAAAGAAAAAAAAAAGTTCACTATGGTTAATATTAGAGAAATAAAGGTCTATTTTACTAAAACAATACAATAGCAGTACGATAGCACAGGATAAGCTATCTTAAAATAGACTTACTTTCGGTATATTTCGGATTCTGTCAGTACATTTCACTTCGCTAGACGTGTTAATGTCAGTCATAATGAATTTAGATAGAGCCTTTGTAAAGTTTATCTCTAACTAGGTATGGGAAGTTTTTAAGGCCAAACGGGTTTCTGTCGTGCTCGGACGCAGAGCTGTGCACCTGTTTAAGTACCGTTGCCTAGCAACATAGTTCAGCAATTCAACTTAATACTCTAGTTTGGTTTAAAATACCTTTCAAGCGAATCAAAGATTGTGATAACCAATGGGGAGACCATGTGAATGACTAACTTGTCCAAAATAAAACACATTGTCTAATGTATTTATTGCTTTGAGTCAGTGGCATTAACCTTGAACCGCAATCCCTGCTTTTAGCTCACTAGCTTAAAGATAAAAAAAAAAAATGTAAATACTCTCTTTTGTTATTTTGGAGACAGACATATTTCAATAAATTTGGTATGAATCCTGGCGTGTGATTGGTTGGCCACCCTGATACGCAGGCGGATTGTGAATTCCAGTCATACGATCTGTCATCATCCTTCGTACAATGCGAAAAGGGAAGTTGAAAGAAGTGGGAGAGCGAGATCGCTGAGCCTTATGAAATCTAACGTTTCAGCAGCTGGTTGGATACTCGACACACTGTGAACATACGTTGAAGTACTGCAAATACTGTCCTGGAGATACCTTTACCATTAACTACGCTCCTGTTTTTGATAGGTAAGTAGCTAATATTAGCTTTAGCTGACTAGCTGTAGGCTATCTGGAGGGCTCCTCCCGATGCGGCCGCAGCTGAACAACGTTAGCCTGCCCAGTACCTATTATTTGGCTAGCTAACATTAGCTAGCCGACACTGGAAGGGCCGTACAACTTAGCCTAGTTAACGTTGTTCTGCTGATAAATCTGAAGGTATCATCACGTTTAGATCACCCACACATTAGCATTAATCCACTTTTACTCTCACAAACAGTTGCAGTTCTCTTTCAAACGCTGCTTGATAAGCTACTTCACTAATTCACCGTCACGGAGCTAACGTTAGCTAGCTGTCACTAGCTGTACACACCCAAATCTCCATCATCTGAGTTTGAGCATTTTCAGAACTTATGTAAGTGTCATATTTAGTGCGTATAAGCTTGATTGGTATGCTGCTACCCGCACTCACGCCAGCGTTAATCAAGCGAAATCATGCTTTATAACAAACGCAGATTGGGTTTTGGACTAGGCATTTTGAACTTATGAGTTAGCTATGTTGCTAACGCTAGCAGTTGCTACCAACTAAAACGATCCACTCGGCAACAACACAACAAGTTATTTGTGGTGATCTCTGTGTCGTAACGCGATTTCGACGCTCGAAGTTGACAGCAATTATTTTTGGAGCGATGTTCTGTGTTTAGTTTGATGGTGGAAATGGTTAATGTCTAGGTTACAGAGGTAATCTGTTGTTGTGGCTGTTGTTTGTTTGACTACAAAATCATGAAAGACAAACAACAAAACCACTAAATTGACCCAAATACTTTTTCCCACACATGTGTCCAGACTGGTGGACATGTGTCCTCTTTCTGTCTGCCTCACGTAGTTGAAGCCACACACATATACACACGTTGTTTGTGTGTGAGTGTTGGGGTTTTCACTGCCAGAACAGTTGTTGAACTTGCCATTTGTAATTGTTGTTGAACTGGTACAGGGTAATAACGTTAGAGGCACAAGTATAAATATATGTATGACATCAGTTTCCGAAACTTTGAACATGCTGTCAGGCAAAGTTTTCTCTCTCTCTCTCTCTCTCTCTCTCTCTCTCTCTCTCTTTAAATCTGGTATTGCTGCTTGTTACTATAGCGGACATCCAACTAATGTTTGTAGCTGAATGAGAGTCCGGTAATTTGAAATTATGTGTAATGTGTCAATTTGTACCAAACTAGAGTAAGTTTCCATTCATGTTTACGGGATTAGCCGTGGCATTTTGCCTTTGGATTTGGACTTCTTATTTTAAAAGAAATATAGTTAAAACAACATTATAAAATTTAACAGATCAAATATCAATTGCCCTGATACGCAGCTCTATACGCATCTCTATGCATTTAAAAAAGTAGTTTCCAGGAGCTTTTTATGAAGAGTTCTAAAAGCGGTATTTTTAGATTTAGGAATAGTGGTGTGGGTCATTAACCAAAGGCTAAAGCTGAATAATTTAAAACACTGATCAATTGCAGGGTTTGTCCTGGTTCACAATCTGCCTTTTAGGGTTGACAGTTGGTCTGTGTATTGATAAAATGAGCATGTTACATTACTTAACCAGGGGGATGCATTTCCCTTTTTCTTTTTCTTTTTTTGTTTTTATTTTACTTTGGTGGCTTCCAGAGATTTTGTCCTCTCCCCAAAGTGTATTAAATACAGGAAAAACCCTGAACTGGCACTTTGGTTTTTGCAGGGACTAAATGTTTTGCAAAGGCAAAATTACCACATAAATTCTTATTATCTTTCATTTTTGTATCAGTTAATAAGATCTTCTTTTATAATGACACCTTGCTTTATTTTCTTTCTCCTGCTCAGGTGTTTTTCTACAGTTTTTCACATCCCGGGGACGAGACCAGACAGTGTGACATGGCAAGTAGAGGCGGAGCCACGCGACCCAATGGGCCAAACGCAGGCAACAAGATTTGCCAGTTCAAACTCGTGCTTTTAGGAGAGTCCGCGGTGGGAAAGTCAAGCCTTGTACTTCGTTTCGTTAAGGGTCAGTTTCATGAATTCCAAGAGAGCACAATTGGAGGTACGTAATCCTTACGTCATCATAAGTCAGTGTTGGCGTGTTTGTTTTTGCTCTGTGAACAGGCCATCTCTGAGACTTCCAGTAAACCACATAATGGAATATTTACTAAATGTTATGCTAGATAACATAACGGCTACATGCAGTTAGCTGTACTAAGAGTCATAGTCCCAGAGCCTAAAGTTCATTTAAGAAGTAAGGCTATAGAATCATCAAGGTGTGTTGGAGTAAAACAGAGAAAGTATCACCAGGGGAAACTGGAACTCCTCAAAAGAGCATGTAGCCAGTATGAGATTCAGTTGGGAAAAGGGGGAATGTGAGGAATTGTCAATATAAAAATGCCTTATTAGAACAGGCAGCTATGCAAATATTTTGGTCCATTAGGTTACTGCGTTTTGGTTATCTTGATAATCTCACCCTCAGCGCCAGGTGACACCTTTACTGTACTCACTACTGAAAATAATCCAATCATCCTGCCATTCCACCACTACTAGTCTGTGTCCAAGGCTGTGTGTTAAGATAAAAAAAAAAGTCCTTTACAGTCAGTGGTCTGCTGGCATTAGCTGATTGGGTAAAAACAACATTTAAGTGTTATTCACAGTTCTCATTTCAGTTAAAACAGAGCATAGTTTTCAAACTAAGGTTTAACATGTGGTTTAAAAGTGCCTTTGAGCAAATCACACCCATTTTGATTCTGGATGTTTAATGTCATCCCCAAAGTCATTCCTTTGGTTTCCAACATTGGGCCATGTCACCTTGACTGAAACACATTTGTGTAGCTCAGTATTTAAAGACCCACTTGTCACTGGTCCGTCTGCTTTGTACCCCTGCAGCTGCCTTCCTGACTCAGACGGTATGTTTGGACGACACAACAGTCAAGTTTGAGATCTGGGACACGGCCGGTCAGGAGCGCTACCACAGTCTGGCTCCCATGTACTACAGAGGTGCACAGGCAGCCATCGTGGTCTATGATATTACAAATGAGGTTGGTCAGATTCCAGGCTTGTGTCTGTGTAGCTGTTGGCACACCTGTTTTCATTTACCTTTGCTAGCTCAAACAACTTTGTTGTCGAAGATGAGGAAGTAGTGGGGCTTTCCACCTTAATATTTCTAAGCAGTGGTTAAGCTAAAAACAGAACCTTATTTTGGTATCCTGACACATTAAGAAATGACTCATCACTCAACAGACAATGTTTTGCAGACAGTGCTTAGACCTTAGATGTCTCCCGGGGGCATTGTCAGGGACGCGTTATATGTCAGCATATTTTCATGACAAAGAGAACATATTATTCTCTGTTTAATATGTAGACAGTGTGCAGGTTAACGATTTGTCCTGTTTCCAATGTTTGTCTGCTTCAACAGCCCTAGAGGGAACCTATTATGCTAATTTCCAGCTTCATGCTCCTATTCTTAACTCAGAGTAGCTTTGTGTGATTCATAGTTCCAGATCCTCCTTGTTTACCTTCTGCTGGACATTAGTGGGTGTAACCTCTCAGCTCTTGTCTAGTCTCAGCTGAGACGAGCTCTTTTAACTTGCTTCCTCCACCCTTTAACAATAAGAACTTAAGTTGTGTAGCACCTGTAAATGCAGAGTTTACAAAGTGCTGTGACAGCCAAGCAAAAGCAGAATACCAAATTCAAACAGAAAGTTGGACATTAGGTGGAAAACGTTAACCTTAAAAATGGAAGAATTCTAACAAAAAATATGGAAGAAAATTAAAAAATGAATCTCAAACAATTCTCAGTCCTTGTAAACAAAACGTTCTAACAGCAGGTGGGTGGAGTTTGTGTTCAGTCAGAGCTGTGGGCCTGATGTGACCATAAGGCTGATTAATACTGACAACATACAGGGCCAAGAGTAGAACAGAGTGGCTGAAAGAGAGTAGCCTGAAGTCTGAGATTTGGGCTCACAGGGATTACTTTCACAAATGTCGATGTCGATTTTTGTGTGTACTGTGGAGATCCAGCATAACAATATCCAATGAGAGAAAAAGGGAAAAGCACGATAGATAGCATTTTAAACAAACTGATAAATAAATGAAACAGCTGCCAGTAAGAGAGCAGCTAATCTAGTTTTATCGTACATATCATATTACCTGAAAGTTGCATTGCTTCCTGGCCTGCATGACTAAAATGTGGATGTAGAGAGATTATTTTTCCTTTCATCTACTGTATGTATGTGGATAGGTGTGAGTCATTCTTGTGTAAAAGCTAATACAAGTCAAATCGAATATAGAACAGAGCAGAGTTTAAAGTCAGCATTATTCTCTCCTGTAGGTTTTACTTTAGTGACAAAGTCAGTAGTCGTTCCCCTTATCTTTTAATAAAAGCAAAGCACAGAAAGCTATAAAGCGCTTTGGCATTTCTTTATTATTACTAAAGGTGGTAATCTTTTAAAGTACAGGTGTCGAACTCCAGGCCTCGAGGGCTGGTGTCCTGCAGGTTTTAGATGTGTCCTTGATCCAACACAGCTGATTTAAATGGTTAAATGACCTCCTCAACATGTCTTGAAGTTCTTCAGAGGCCTGGTAATGAACTAAGCATTGATTCAGGTGTGTTGACCCAGGGTGATCTCTAAAACCTGCAGGACACTGGCCCTTGAGGCCTGGAGTTGGACATCCCTGTTTTAAAGAGATCGGGCTGAATGCAACATTTGTTTATTGTGCTGCATAAGTCATTGTAGTACAGCCTCTGCACACTGTGATGTTTACTGTAATATCTCATCAAAAGCATCACTATAATGATTGTGTCCCCTGGAACTTTTTTTAAAAGATAGACAAATCGGACATCATGGGAAAGTCTCCCTGTTATCGTCCATCACACAGGCCTTATTGCTATTTTCACTAATTGAGCCCCTCCACTTACCCCTCCCTGATCTGTTTTCCAGGAGTCATTTGTACGGGCAAAGAATTGGGTTAAAGAGCTTCAGAGACAAGCCAGTCCAAATATCGTAATAGCCCTGGCTGGGAACAAGGCTGATCTCGCAAACAAGAGAGCACTGGACTTCCAGGTTTGTCTTCTTAATTAACTTCAAGATGTGCGCAGAGCCGCAAAGTCATCTTCAAATAAAGTAGACTTTGTGGCAGGATTTGTTGAAGCTAACAGTAAATAATTCTTGGAATAATTGTCGTTAATAATCTGCCGAGAGAAAAACATCCTCTGCTTGGAACATGCCTACTTGGCTTTCTCTGCTGCTTCCTTGCTTTGTCAGTTCAAACTATGAAAAACTAATAATTTTGGTGTAACCTTCACAGGATGCACAGTCATACGCAGATGACAACAGCTTGCTTTTCATGGAAACATCAGCGAAGACCTCTATGAATGTGAATGAGATTTTCATGGCCATTGGTAAGTGTCTCCGCCGCAGGACTTCAAATATGAAGTGAAATACTGCTCGTGACCTTCAGAGCCAGTCACTAGCTGTAGTATTTAAGCACACTGAAATGTCTCTGAAGTATCCTTACTAACAGGAAATGATAGTGGCTGTGCACCTGTCGTGTTGTGTAAATATAATATTGTAGGATTCATCTCAGGGTGTGCATTTGTATGATAAAGTGCACAAGAGGCTCTTACTGCCTTCATCCAAGTGTGCATTTGAGTGCAGGTTGTGTAATATTAGGCTACCGGAATGCACTACTGGGCAGTCGGTTGGCTTCAATCCATAAACCTGGCAAATATTAAATGAGTGTGTGCAGTATTTATATGCAGGTGATCATCTGTCATTAATGAGCTGGATCAGTGAAAAAAAGCCGCTGCAGAGTGTTAGCAAGAACCGGCGGGTTTTAAAGTGAACTGTGTGGTTTGTTAGCAGCTGCTAAATGACTCGTGTATTCACAGATAAATGGTGGATACTTGTAACGCGGGATGTTTGCAACTAGGTCCATAGCAGTTAATCCATCAGGTTCTGAAATTATATGTTGTATAGTGCTCACTCAGTCGTCCATCTTTATCCCCGATTGTTGAAACTTTGTCAGCAACCTCGAGTAATGTTGCATTTGAACAGATATTGTAATCTGAATCTAGTTTTGGTCTCAGAGAGTTGACGCGCGGCTAAGCTTTCATGTTGCTGAAGGAAGTTTGAGAGATGCAGTCGGGACTGTGATGCAGCTTCTGAAAGCTTAACTATATTTAGTTGAGTTTTGTATTTATTTAGTCTACTCAGTGGAATGTCTTGCAGAATGTGGTGTGCCAGCTGGCACTGTAAAATGCAGTTTGAGGTGTAATCACTGAGGCAGTACACAGTTTGTCCACCAGAGAGCGCTGTCAAGTTATTTTTAAATTGCGAAAGGTCTTGATTAGTTGCTCTCAGTTCTGTGGAAGTGCTTTTTGCTTTTTCATCCAGATGTTTTAACTGATGATGGACACACACTGTGTGAGAAATTCTAAACATTTAATAGGCAAAATAATATATTATCAGAAAGTATTTGAGAAGACTATAAGCGGATCAGTCTTTATAAAAGGGAGGGGGAAAAAATGGAAACCATTTGGCTGTGAGAGCGCCACTGAGGTGTGGGGCCACACCTATCTTCCGACTAAACCTTCATTTTGATCCTAGCCACACTCCTCTAAAGTGTCATGACTAGGTCATGGCAAGTTATGACATCGTGTTGACAAAATCTATCCCTGGACAAATTAACACCCGCCAAAGTACTTAGAGACCTATTGTAAGAACTAGCACAAAGGTGGTTTTCACATGTGGCCATGATGAGACAATGACTCACAGAGTAAAAACAATACCAGTCATGTCTGCATGGCTGGTAAGACCTGTTAGCTGCATTCCTGCCCTGACATTAGCATTGTTGCAACAGTTGGGGTGTGACTGTTCACACAGACATATAGGCTGTGCCAGAAATCAGTGCTAGATACTTTTCAGGGGTTTTCAAAAATACATTTTAGGGCTCATATTATTTGCTTAGTAAGTTAATTAATATCTCAAAGCGACTTCTCATAATGGTTCTTCACCCTGACACGCTGCTTTGGGAAGGAAATTTGGACTTTTGTGGAGGGGCAAAAACAGAGAGGGAGGTCGTGACAGCATTATTGCAAAACCGACTCGAACATGAAAGACATTTTATCTCGAATATATCTCTGAAAGCTAAAATTACAACTGGAAAAAATTATTAGGTATTATCTAAAATGTATCAAAAATAATGGGCTTATTTGAAGTTACTCTTCAAATAATTTTTGATGTAATCACCTGTCAGGTTGTGGTCTTTGCTTGTCTAAAATTTCTGTAGGTGCATTACTGATCCGCTGTCTTTCTCACTGCAGCAAAGAAACTACCCAAGAATGAGCCTCAAGTGACCGGAGCCAGCACCGGACGGAACCGGGGAGTGGACCTGACAGAGACTGCTCAGCCCACCAGCCGCCCATGCTGCGCTAACTAACCCAGCTCTTCCTGCTCATGCTCCCCACACAAATGCACTCTCCTCCTTCTGGCTCCTCCCTTCCTTCTCACCTGAACAACATCTGGACATCGGGCTTCTTGGCTTTCTGACGTCAGACCTGACTTCAACCTCACTCCCCTGGAATAGCTAAAAGACTCTGTATAGCTGCATTTCTAATACTTTTTTTTTTTTTTTTTGATGTTCTCTCTCTTTTTTCTTTTTTTTTTTAAACTTTTTTTAAGAAGTGTATATCAGTATAATGGATGCATGTATCACTACAACGCCTAAAGGAAAAAAAAAAAGACAAAAAAAGAAAAACACATTTTTATCTCATATTCACTTGGAAGACTAACCCTGGTTAAGAAAGATGAGCGAGCGAAAAACCCGTGAGCGTGTGATTATGTTTTGTATGAGTTTCTGATGAGAAGGTGTTGCCACTTGGCAGGGTCGGCTTCTTGTTGCCCGTGTGTGTGTGTGTGTGTGTGTGTGTGTGTGTGCGCGTGTGCGCGTATGTGTGTTAATCTTTTCTTTTTGGTTGGGTTTTTTTTTTTTTTTTTTTTTTTCTGTGCTCACTATTTGGAAAAAAACAAATTGTCCCCATCTTGAGGTGCCTGGATTCTCAGACTTTGTTGTGAGCCACTTGGGTGTCTCAGTGGTGCCAGGAAATGATTATCGTGCAAACCAACAACCCTTCCCTCCCTCTTCACATCTGTTACACAAGAAGATGCATCCCTCCAGGACTTCATTTAGGGGAGACTGTGGAAAATAAATTTGGGTACTGTTTGGTGTTTGAATAAATTCTAGCATGAAGAAGAAGAAGGAAAAAAGAAACTGTCTTTATAAACATGTGACTCCTGAGTATGTGCAACCATGCATAGAGCAACGCTTGTCAGATTTCTGTACATCATACCCAACAACAAGCCTTCGTGGTGCCGAAAATGTGGAGTTTGACCTAAAATTTGACCTAAAGAAGGCTCTTATGTTGTCATCACAGTGTCATAGTAAAAACTTGGAGTGACATAGAGAGAGAAATCAACAGGAAACCGTAAGAGTGCCGAACATTCTGTTTTGCAAAGACTTGAATGTATGACTAGCGATATGTTTAAACTTTCAGCTTATCTAACCTGCTCTGTTTCCATTCAGGCCAGTAGTCAACCTGCATCAGTTTGGGTAATGTAGATGAATGGAGGGGCGTGGTTTTAAAAATTCAGACAGCATACAAACAGAAAATTGGACTATCACCCCATGTCACGAGTCTGTGGGGGGGAAAAAACGAAAAACTCTAATGTTGTTATAGGGTGCAATGTCGCAATGTTGTCTTCTTCCTTTAGTACAGCTTGCAGAGCTCGCAAGCTCACCAGGAAATTTATCTAGAGATGCCGAACAATTGTACAGTTCAGTATAGGTCTGCATTTTTTTTTCTTCTTTTATTTACATTCTAGACCTTGTCACAAACTGGTCAAATGTTAAGCAGTGGTGGTCTTTTTAGGTGTATGTAGTGTTATTAACAAAATCCCTCTCTGGTGTCTTGTTACTTTTCTCAGAAATGGTCCATGGTCGTGTTTGAAAGGAACTTTTATTGCATTGCACAGTGTTGATCATGTTTTAATTATTGATGACTGCCCTTCGATTTTATATGATGGACTGTATTGGACTTGCTAACCTTATGGCTATAAGGAAGTAGCATAATTAACCTAACTGGTGGTCTCTCTTACAGCTCAATGAATTTTAATGATGTAAAAACAGCATTACTAGTGATGGGCTGATCATTTTGAGTGTCTGAATACAACTTAATAAATCCAATAAAGAGGTCTGTTGTACAGCTTTTTGCTCTGAACATGTTGTGATATGCGGAGCAGTCGGACACTGCATGTCAGGCCCATATCCTCGTGAGTATATGATGCAAAATGTCCAATTTGGCCACATGTCACATTGAGTCATAAGGAATCTCAACAAAAATGACTGGATCTATATAAAATACTTAATAACTCATAACGTTCTGTGTAATCCTAATAAACAGGCAAATCAGACCAATCACAATAACCTCTTTGGCCTATCTTAGCTTGATGTCAAACAGAACTGACATTACACCCCTCCCATTGTAGAAGAGTTAGTTAAGGTTGCGTATAATTACCAGGTAATTGTTTTCTAGCATGCCAAATAAACTAAACACAAGCTGTCAAGATTAAAATGATGGGTAGAATATTAACTTTGCAGGTAATTTTGTGAAATTAAAATACTGAATGCTAGATGTTATGGAGACACAAATGTCTGATGTGCCAGAAGACCTGACCAGTGTTCTGCATTATCTAAACCATTTAAAGTCCACACCTCTGTGGCCAAAGCATTTGGCTCCTTGTTTGCATATGCCATCAGCTTTGTTTGGTTTTTGTAGTACAACATGCACATGTGTAAAAATACACCTATATAAACATTACTGACACTAACATTCATATTTTTTCTTATAGACACCATATATACTAAAAAGTACTTTCAGCTGTTCCCTCATTCACAAGGTCAGCACAGCAAGCAGTGACATATTTGAGGTGTCAGAGTCCTGATGGCCTTCCCGACACACCTTCCAAGGAATTTGCATCTCCTCCCAGGATCAAGTGAGTAAGCTCCTGCTTGTATGAAGTCACTTGTATACTGTACATATTACTCATATAATTATTCTAAATATGCAATAATTATTATTCCGTATAGTGGATATAAATGATTACTATATAAGTTAAAAATTCCTGTGAATTTAGCTGTGCATCTTCCTTCTTTGCAGTGACCCACAAATCACTTGACATAGAAAAGGTAAAATAAATAAATAAATAATGCTGAGATATCCTGGTTTATATATTCTGTAGTACAGGTCAGCATCAAAGTCTCAGTCATTAAAATCACAAATTATTAAACTGATCTTAGTTAAGTTTAATTGCAATTTCAATCTAGCGGCAGAATGACTTGCAGCTTCTTCAGGCTGCAAGTCAAAATGATAAAGTGATACATTTTGATGCGTCATTGCTGTGTGAATGCTGCATCTTTAAAAAGCTTTAAAGTGACTGGTTATGTGTATGTGGCTTTTACTATATGGTTAATATTACCAGGAAAAGTGCTCATGCACTCATCAGTCCATTCATTAGCTACACTTTGCTAATGCCATGCTGGTTCTTCGTTTGCCTTAATTCTTTATAGCATAGATTCAGCAAAGTGTTGGAAACATTCTTCGGAGATTTTGGTCCTTCTTGACATGAGATCATCATACAGTTGTTGCAGATTTGTCAGCTGCACATCCATGAACCCCTGTTCCACCACATCCTAACGGTACTCTTATTAGACTGAGATCTGCTGAATGTGGAAACCATTTGAGTACAGTGAACTCACTGTCATGTTCAAGCACCAAGGTTTGGACGATATGAGCCACCACTGTGTTCATAAAGGCATAGACATGGTCAGCAACAATACTCACGTAGGTGAAATGATGCTCTTTTGGTACTAAGGGGTTCCAAGTGTGCCAAGAAAATATCCCCAACACGAGCATCCCCAATATTTACACCAAATTCTGATCCTACCATCCAAATGTACATACCTTAGGTTACTTGCTATCAGTTGAAGAAGTCCATGTCTGACCTCTGACATCCACAAGATATTTTCACCCAGAGAACTAACGCACACTGAATATTTTCTCTTTTTTGGGCCATTTTCTGTAAACCCTAGAGATGGTATGCATGGGAAAATCCCAGTAGATCAACATTTTCTGAAATCCTCAGATGAGCCGTCTGGCACCAGAAACTATGCCACTCTAAAAGTCCCTTAAATCACATTTCTACCCCCATCTGATGCCTAGGTTAAACTTGAGCAAGTCTACAGGCCTAAAGGTATTGAATTACTGCCATGTGATTGGCTGATTAGATATCTGCGTCACTAAGCTGTTGAACAGGTGCACCTACTAAAGTGACCGGTGAGTTCAAATGTAGTCTACTGAGGTCAACAGCTTGTTTTGTACACACATATTAAATTTCACACCTCCAATTTGTCACACTTGAGCTTTGAGTTTTGGTCTACACCCATCCATTCGCACCACCATCCAACCGAATTTTCTCACTTGAGCTCACTTCTTGTCACTTCCAGGCCCGTGCTTCAGTATATATTCCCATCTTCAGCCCCTTCTCTCAGCATCTTGCTCGATGACATCCTGACACTTCAACAATCTCTATCCTTAAAGTCCACATAGATGAGTCATGTGAACTCTCAGCCTGATCACGTTTGGATAGGACTCAAATTACAGTTCTTAAAACCTTATTAACAGCTTGTTCATCGAGTTCTGCCCACACACTGCAGAGGCACGGAGCGGCAGATAGAGAGAAGAGTGGTAAGGCTGTATAATACAGGGATAAATATCCAATTAAATTGGAGGCTAAAGTGGCAAAAAACCTCTTGGAGAACTTGATGATGCTCCTCAACTTGACAGCGCTGTGATAAGAGGTTGATTGCACAAAATTACAAATCATTCCCTACTGGTACAAAGTCAGTCATTTAAAGATTTCAACTTTCACTACAACATCATGGAGAAAGAGTTTGCTCACAGTATTTCTATAAAGTCTTGTCAGTCCACTGAACTGTCAGACGTTCTCAGAAGCACTGTTTCTCCAATTGTAGTAAAATTTGAAACAATGTATATTTTAAGATACTCCTGCAGGAGGTAGAACAAAGCACAGCCACATTTTTGCATATCCTCAAAGGTGTCTGAAGGAATTTTAAGCAAATTGTCATTTAAAATATTTTACTGTACAATCAGTTGCATCAACAGATATTAAAAGAAAAGAAAAGAATAATAGATAAATACATAAGTACAAAATAGTGCCAAGCTGTTATGATGTGCTCTGTCTGAACTCATGTTAAAAATGTGGATAAACCAAATGATTCACACTACTTATGTCATTTCTAGCATACTAATTATACACTAGTTATGTATTTTACTTCATGTAGTAAATTATTTACTCAACTAATGTATAAGATAAGTAAGAGGTGGTTCATCTTTCGATTGGCTTTCAGAAGATGGGCAAGAAAGTGACTTGTCCATAGTGTTGGCAGCAGAATTGAGTCCAACAGCGTGGAAAAGTAGAACTTAAAGAATAGACTAGAATCCCAAATACAAAAAAGACATGCAGGCAGACAAGTGGAGGATGCCATCCTGTACCTCCTACATAGAGCCCACTCACACCTGGACAAGGGAAAAGGCACAGTCAGGATCCTGTTTCTTGAATTTTCAAGTGCCTTTAATACCATCCGGCCCTGTCTGCTTCGGGAAAAACTAAACAGGATGCAGGTGGACCCCTGCCTGGTCGCTTGGATCTCAAACTACCTCACCGACAGACCACAGTACGTCAGGCTGTGGTCAGCAGCACAGGAGCACCACAGGGAACTGTGCTGTCCCCTCTTCACCCTGTACACCTCTGACTTCTGCTACAACTCTGAATTATGCCATATTCAGAAGTTTGCAGACGACACAGCCATCATGGGGTGTATCTGGGATGATCAAGAAGAGGAGTACAGGAGTCTGGTGAGGAACTTTGTCACATGGAGTCACACCAACCACCTGCAACTCAACACCTCAAAGACCAAGGAACTGGTTGTGGACTTCGGGAGGTCCAGAGCAGGTCCACTGCCAGTTCAGATAGAGGAAGAGGAGGTGGAGGTGGTCAACACGTACGAGTACGGGACTGCACACACCCAGGACACCGGGTGTTTAAGCTGCTGCCGTCTGGCAGGAGGTTCAGGCTGCTGAGGTCCCGAACAAATAGACTCAAGGACAGCTTTTACAACAGGGCAATAGCCCTGATCAATGTAAATAGCTGACCTGACTGGATACCTCCCTGGACTTTTTAGGGGGAGGTAACAATGTTTAAAACGATAACAATAATATTTATATTTATAACAAGGTGCAATAATAATTAATGTGCAATAATAACAGTGTGCAATACACATACACTTATTCTTCTTTTTTATACTAAGTTAATATACTGTGTTGTGTTGTTTGTTACGTTGTGATGTGTCATATCGTGTCGTGTTGTGTTATATGTAGTGCCGACGTAGGACAGTTTTTTCCAATTTCATTGTACTACTGTACTATGTATGACTGTGCAATGACAATAAAGAGTTATCTTATCTTACCACGGGCTGTGGGTGGACAACAAACTGGACTGGTCATGCAACAGGCGTATTGTCTACATCTATCAATAAATCCGTTTATGCGGTGAAATATTTTTATTCAAGAATACATTTCATAGTTGTTATAAGTTGAAAACTGCATCCGTAAAAAAACAAAATTATGTTCTTTTTTTCTGCTTCTTTTGGGCTTTCTCTTCATTTCTAGAGTCAGTGCGCGGCACTAAACCTTATTTACCTCACTGAAATGCTTCAACTCAAGTATTGATTTAGAAAAAGAAAACAAAAATGATTTTTTAATTTTGCATCCTCATCAGCCAACGGAAAGTGGTTGTCTATAAATCTATGACAACTGGAGGAACTCCGTCTGCTGATGAAGTCTGATTGTTTATTCGATCAATGTCTGTATAACTGCTATTGAAGGGACTTGGTAGTGAAATTGCAGTTTCCACTGGCACAAATTCACTTGAACAAAACTGTCGATATAGATAAATACAATTTAAGAAATTACTTTTTTTTACAACACATATATTTTAAAGCTTAACCTTCTAATAATCTTTGAGTGTTATTCTCATCATTAGAAATTATTGACGTTTTCTGTTTCTTGTCATGTTTAAAAACACCATTACCGACAAAGATGAGTGGCATTCTGCTCTTGTCGCAGTG